AAGACAGAAACAAAGACAGAAACAAAGACAGAAACAAAGACAGAAACAAAGACAGAAACAAAGACAGAAACAAAGACAGAAACAAAGACAGAAACAAAGACAGAAACAAAGACAGAAACAAAGACAGAAACAAAGACAGAAACAAAGACAGAAACAAAGACAGAAACAAAGACAGAAACAAAGACAGAAACAAAGACAGAAACAAAGACAGAAACAAAGACAGAAACAAAGACAGAAACAAACAAACAACTAGGACTAACTGCCTGCGTCCAGAAAAGCAAGTAACAGGAGTCCTTTGGAAAGTATTCAGAAGCTGTTGAGGTTTTAGTTTTACCCAAGCAACTATTTTCTTTTCCTTCTTTCTACATTCAGAGTGGGATTTGCTTTGCACTTTCTCCAGCTGCAAGAGAACTCCTTCATGATTCACACAGGACTCCAAGGCCTTAAATCCTAACAGAACTGAAGGAAAATGCAAGACAGAAGATTTATTGGACATTTTATTTGCTGCCACAGTTTTTAAGATCACACCAGTGACAACATAGACAAGATGGTGACTGGCAATGCAGGAGTAAACAGAGCAGTGACTCTGAGAGAGTAAACAGAGAACTCCTTCAGCATGACAAGAAGAAATTCAAGTATTTGGCTATTCATTTTTTTTTCCCCTATAAAACATACCTCTGAGTTTGGTAATTCCCAGTTAGACAGGAAAATCTAATACTTTGCAGAGGTGTAAGAAGGAAAAAAAAAGCAAACACTACACATAGGTCAGATACCCTGCCACAGCAAAAGGGCAATTGGGACAATAGATAGAAGTAAGCCAAAACTTCTGTTTAGAAGTGGCTCCAATTCCTATCTGTTGAAGCATCTGCCCATTTCAAAATAAATCTTTCTGTAATTTAATGGTGGAAATTTTTTTGCCAATTTTGCTATTTTCTAACTTATTTGAATGATTCAGTTTATAAAATAGGCTTCAGTGAAGTGCATTTAAACAAATGTCAGCTAGTTCATGTACAATTGAACAACCACATGCTATCCTACAATTACAACCTCTGCTTTTTAATACCCAATCACATCTTTTCAGAGATGTTTATGAAATTGGCACTAATGCAGGTACCAGTTGTGGCCAGTGCAAACAGTAACTGTTGCAGACCTCTTTAACAGATGATTGCGTGGATGTAACAGATCCCAAAACAAGAGGAAATTTTAACACATGCTTGTGGAACATATTGTGCTTATTAGCTGGAATTCTTTCCCTAGCCTTCCTCTCTGCTAGTAGCAGAGAGCCTTCATTTTCTCTTTCTGTACTGCTACCAAACAAGAGAGATTGTAAAAGAGTGAGGAGTGCAGTACATAAAAAGTCAATTGCTAAAAGACAATCAGTTGTTTTCATACCAGTCTTCTCCCCACTTCAGAGCTGTGTGGTACTGAGAACCCTCATAGGTCTACGAAGTCCACACTTAGCCCAGACTACATCAGGAGTTAACAAGACTTAAAAAATAGCTGCTGCATGAGAAATTCAAGCCTGTTGTCAGAACAGGCTGCATCTCTTCTTAGAAAAATCCTCTGGTAAGAAGAAAGGAAGACAACTGGGCAGCATTCCCCTTTTCAGCGTATTACTTCTGAAACTGTCCAGACAAGGAATAATCAACCCTCTCAACAAAAGAAACATTTATGAGTCAGCTGTTAAATCAACTTCACCAATGCAAACAGCTTAAAGACACAAGGACTCCAGGCACCACCCATCTATCAGCCATCTACCAATGTACCTTAAATTTAACTTGCAGACTTAGTTTTGTTTGGCTGCTTCCCTGAAGGGTTATGGAGCTAAAACACCCCAAGGAAGGGCCCAACAGAGACAGAAGGCAGAGCACAAGGTGGGGAGGAAGCAGGGAAGCTTAGCCCAGGTGGAACATTCAGAGTAGGAAGCTACCCACGTATTTTCATAAGAAGCTAACATAATGCTCTTTGCACCCATAGGAAAGGATTTTTTTCTCTTCATGCCCCACTTTTGGCCCTGTCTTTAACTTGTACCAGGTGTGGTACTGTTGGCCCTCTGCTGCCTCTCCAGTACAAGCTAAACCTGCTGCTTTAGTTAGCTGAAGTGCGCCATAGAAGGGTCTATCTAAAAACCACCAGAACTGGAGAACCTAAGAAGGGTGGTAGCAGGAGTATACAACCAAGTGCTGGGGTGCAGGGAGTGTGGTGTTGCAGCAATCCACTGTGCCTCAGGAAGTCACACTTGAAATTCCGGCAGAGTAAGAAGAGAGGGTATTCTGCAGAGAAAGCAGACACAATCTGCTATCTGGCACACATGCCAACAGCATAGCAACAGTTTTTTATATGTCTTTTCCTTGACACTTTTGAATTTTACCAATTTTAAACACAAAGTGTAACAGCAACAAGTCTTGGGAACCCAGCATCTAAACAAGGAAACTAGTAGAAAATAAAAATGCAAAATGTCAAGACAATTTTGGCAAAACCCTGGGAAAAGAGAAGATAGAGTAATTAAAAATATAACACATCATTTGCTTTTCAAATTTTTAATTGGGTATAATAAATGTACACAAAAGGAAGCATTGGCATTTTTGTTCATTTTAAGTGTATGAAATGGTAGGGAAAATAGACACATGGCATGAGTGAGGTCAGAAGTATCAAGACTGGTTTGAAATATTTCAAAATGTCATGCTAACAGGATATTAAGGGAAGCTTTTAAAGCCATTATGAACAAGGCTTGTTTAACAACAGAGCTAGAACCCACATTGTGCACAAGGTTGACAGACTGAGAAAAGCAATTTTCCTCATGTCTCGTATATCCAGGAATTTCAGCTGTGAAACCTACATTAGAGTTAGCCATTTTCTCTCATTTTGAATGAGATCATTGACTAAATAAATTATTAGAAAGTAAGTGCAAACTGCTGCACTACTTTGTCATGCTAAATCTATTACTAGAAAGAGTCTTAATAAGGCTGACGAAAAGGCAGCAGCATTTGAGATATTATAAACCAGTCTAGCACCAAGCAACTCCAAAGTCTAGTTCCCTATTTGCCCTTTGGTGGATACCCTTTGGGGAGTGAAAAAAAGGAAAGAAATAAAACCACTGTGTACTGCAAAGACATGAACATCTGACTCCCTGGATAAAGAACAAACTTACTTCATTTCCTGAAGCTACAGATGGTTGACATGCGAGTTAATTTCAAAACCAAGAACAATACCAGTTACAGTGCTTACAGGAAGATGACCTACAACATACTGGAACTGTATATTACCACTGTGCCTTTGCAAGCAGTCACTGTAAACAGTACATTATCTTACTGATCCTGCCGACAGTGCAGTAACATACATGTTCAGTTCAGCTCTGTACTTCAGGACTATTTTTAAGTGCCCTCAAAACAAAAGCTGTTTCTACAGCTCTCATTAGCTATGCTAATGAATTCTCCTCATCACCCTCAAAACACACATGTGGTGAACAGTTACTCCAAAAGACGAGGTTCATTTACATACCTCACCCAAAGGGATCCAGGAATCAAGACTTTTTGCAGTGCTTCAAATGCATAGCAAACTGAAGTTGGAAGTTTTCCCAGACTGAAATGTGCATCTTAACTATCCTTCTGCAGCACTTGCAGATGTTAGCTGACCTAATTCTGTTCTTTCTAAAATCAGTGAAAACTACTTACTGGGGATTACCAAAACCAACATTAAGTCTTGACAAAGCACTAGGTGTACAACCACCTAAACTTCACTCTCAGCCAGATTCAGTTCCCAGCCCCTGTAAGCATAAGACAAACATTGTAAAAAAAGTAAATTTCCTGTGTCTTCAATCTTGCATCTTTTCCTTCTGGAAGCAATTCAGATTTTTGTAAATTAATTGCATATTCTAATTCTGAGATGCTTGCATCTTCAATATATTAAAAGTGTATCAAACAGAAATGACAATGAAGAAAAATACGATCTTATTTGTATTACTGCTTAATTACGGTTTTAGAATTCTGGAAAGTCTTACATACAGAATTAGAAAGAATTTAGTTTTGAAACTAAATTTCTTGGCCTACCAAAGTGAAAACTGATGTTCATGACTGCTAGGCAGGTACTTCTACAACTTCAAAATAGTCATTAGGCAAAATCACATAGCCTTTTCCTGCCAATATGTCTTTTTCTTTCTGAAACTGAACAATTTCTCTCAGTTTCTCAATCTGTCTTTCCTGACGCCGGCACCGCTGTTGCGCTGTCTTGAGCTTCTTCCGCAGTTTTTCAACTTGTTCCTCCAGCTGTTGAATTCTTTTTCGCTGATGGACTGTATCCTCTACAGTGTAGTTATGATCGCAAAAAACAGCAAGATTGCTGGGGGTCTGCAGAGGGGGCATCAATAATCCAATACTTGGATCTACAAATCTGGCATCTATTTGAGACAAATGAAAAGAAGGAGTTGATGGAGACTGTGTAAGTACGGGAGCTGCTGGTGGTGGTGGTGGTGGTGGAGGCGGTGGAGGTGGTGGCAGTGGAGGAGGTGGCAGTGGATCTTCTGGCTGCTCTGCAAATTCTTCAGACTAGAAAGAACAAGAAAAAAATGTACATTTTCATGCTTAACATTGTTTACAACACAATTACAGCTCCAGAATAACTTAAACAACCAGGATTTAAATTAAAAAATAGATTTCAAATACATGATTTTCAAAACTGGCAAACACTTCTGGGCCTGCTTTGTCTGGCTTCTCAACTGGACACATTTTTAAGCAGCTTCATTTTAAGAGCTCTTTGAAACTCAAGGCCTTGATGTCTAAAAAGGTTTTTTGAAGATTAGATTTTTGAAATCTATATAATTACCTAAGAAGCAAGAACACAGACTGCAGTTGCATAAAATGGACTTCAGATGACCTAGTAATTCATTGCTGCCATTCCATTCCCCTTTGTGCCTCCTATTTTCTGCTGCATCATACTACTATGTAATTGAACCTATCAGCTAACTTAATCAAAAACACACCAGAAGTCTGCTGAGGTAGAATAAGGGTGAACTACTGAGCGGGCTGATAGGCTGGCAGAGCAAAGAAGTAGACACAGTAAGACCAACCTTCTCAACTGGGAGGGACTCTGTTATTGGTTTTGGGCTGCAGAATAATTGGTTAAAAGACACATCATGAACCAAAATAAACAGCTCTTCAACAGCAAAGCAGCCTTCTCATCCTTGGTATTTACTCTTTGCTCAAACATAAGTGCTAAAATGACAGAAAGTTACTTGATCTCCTGCTACCACTGCATAAATTTTCTGTCCATTATTAAATGTCCAAGCAATGCAACAGAAGGTATCACATACGTGGAAAAAGTAGGAATCACAGAGTTATAGAATGGTTTAGGTTGGAAGAGACTTTAAAGATCATCCAGTGTCAACACCCCTCTGCCATGGGCAGAGACACCTTTCACTAGACCAGGTTGCTCAGAGCCCCATCCAACCCTTGAACACTTCCAGGGATGGAGCATTCACAGCTTCTCTGGGCAACCTGTTCCAGCGCCTCACCACCCTCACAGTGGAGAATTTTTACTTAATATCTAAACTAAACCTGCCCTCCTGCAGTTTAAGGCCATACCCCTTTGGCCTGTCACCACCTGCTATTATTAAAAAGTCCCTTTCCAGCCTTCTTGGGCTTCCTGTAGATAGTGTAACATTGCTGTGAGGTCTCCACAGCACTTTCTCTTCTCCAGGCTGAAGATCTCCAACTTTTTCAGCCTATGTCTCTAAGAGGGCTGCTCCATCCCTCTGGTTATCTTCCTGGCCTTCTGGACTCACCTAAAGGTTCCATGTCCTTTCTGGGCTGGGCCCCCAGAGCTGGATGCAGGGTTCCAGGTGGGGTCTCACCAGAGCAGAGGGGCAGAATCCCCTCCCTCCCCTGCTGCCCATGCTGCTTTGGATGCAGCCCAGGACACGTTTGGCTTTCTGGACTGTGAGCTCACACTGCCAGGTCATGTTAAGAAAAAGGACTGCATAGCTGGCAGATGGAATGGACAGGGGAGAAGCACAGTTCTTCCTTTTGGCAGCAGCAAAGTATCAGTTGGCTCAATTCCACTGCAGAGATTTTTTTTCAGATAAAACTGCAAGTTTTATGACATTGCTCTTGCTAGGTCTGCTTGTACAGGTCATGACAATACAGATCCCAAGCCATTTGAGTATGGGCCAAAGCAGATAATCAAATTCTTCCCCAAAGGAGTCCAGTATAATTCAGAAATGCTTCTGTGCACATGTTGATTGAAAAACCACTGTTGAAACCAAAGTGCTTGCATATTGCCTATTAAAAAGAAAGCTTAAAACATTCTCAGTAAAAGAGGCACTGAACAATTTTTCTACCTACCCACCTTCCCATACTGTTAGTATAAAGAAAAATGTAAGGTAAGGATCAGGAAAACGTTGATTTTAAGAACAGCCAATAGTCCTCACTGTCAAAGTATCAAGCTCATCAGATCTGAAGGTTGTATCATTAACTTCCTTGACTTAACATACAAGCAAGACAGATGTTTGAGTGTCTACCTGTCCCTCATACAAACTATGACACTTGGCAAACAGTAACTGAAAAGGCACTTTGCTGATTGGTATTGAAGGAAAGTGCCGATTGGCATTAAAGGGAAGTTTAATATGCAGTCAAATATAACTGATCACACAAAAGTACAAAATCAGCCAACTACTAGTCTTATTTCTCAGTTACACAAAACTGCTGCTATTAGCCTACCTAATTTACATACAAATATTCCAAAGAACTTGACCCTATCCCTGCACTAAAGAACTGCACCATCTGTAACTCAGCTGTCACTATCAAATTTTTCTACCAAAAACCCTACAAAGCAAAGGTAGAGCCTGCAAAAAGATACTCATTCTTGCTAGAAACAAAAGCAAAAATCAGCTCACTGCTGGACTGCTGAATTCACAGACACTTCTACTTGAAGCTATAGAGTATATGCTACCTCTATATACAAATTATTATTGTCACAACATATCACAGAGAACAGATCTTCAGTATCTCTGTGACATCATCAGTGGCTTCTAATTACTTCTTCGAGCCAACAAATACTTCTCCTAAGACATAAGTAAAGAAAAAGAAAATATACCAAATTACATAGTGTGAAAGATAAAAAAACCTGTATTTCAAAATCAGTGTGGATTCAACTCCAAAACAACCACTATTATTCTTTGTTATTACATTGCTACTTGAAGATATGTGGCAGTTTATTCAAAAGTGCCATGAATCAAATAAGAATAAAACTAAATCCTTCAGAATTAAAAGGCACTCACTCTTCTTTGTTTTTGTAGATCCAGGTATGACAGCGAAATTGGGAACGTGGCTCACTACTAATCCTGCTGCACCAGCAGTACTTTTGCAGACTACCCTATACACCCATTCAGCCTTCAGACTGTAAAAAAATTTGCAAGTATTTTACACACAATGAAGAAAATGTGTATTGCACAGATAAGCAAGGAAGTGTAATCAAACAAAAAACACAGCCGTATTTCCCTGTAAACGATCTGTCTCCTTGTTTACATTGTTTCTATTCTCTTATCTGTTATTAACCACTTTTCATTTTTCAAATGTGTTGCCTTTTTATTTCTGCAGCACTCCAATACTGTAGATAAAAACTGAACAAGAAAAATCTGAGTTTTCTTCAGTGCACTTCATGCCATTTAAGACTTTTGTTCCCCAGACGTACTCTATCTACTCTACCTATTCACTGTCTCCTTTGCCACTTTCTTTATGGTCAAACAATAAGAGATTAGATATTTCATATCCTTTAAAGGAGTTAAAAATCAATCTTTTCCATTCTTGTCTTGAAGTTATTACATCAAGAAGAACTCGTAAGTGACTTGCATCTCACAGTAAATTGCTCTAGTGGTACAATGAAGGGAAGAATACCCCACACAGAAGACTCAACCATCAGAAAAGTCAGAGACCAGTCTGGTTTTGAACACAAACGCAAGACAGAGGTACTCTCAGGACAGACAGATAGGAGGTGCAGGTAAGGTTCTGACACACATTTTAACTTTGCAAAGCCAGGGACCAGAGCCCTCTTAAAGAGGCCAGTTAAGTTTCACAGTCAGCATCCACCATGCTAGCAGTAGCCATCAGCCATGGGAAGAGAGTAAGTGGCATTTGCAAGCATTAATGAAAACTCTCTCAGTCTCTGAATATTCAGGAAATGCTGCAGAATATCTTATCTACAGGGCAATACCTTCTTACTTTGTTGCCATTCCATTTAATTCAGCACATGGATGCTGAATTAAGTGGACACATGAACAGGTCAGAGCCAGTGTCTGCCTGTACAACACTCTGCACTCCAAAGCCTCCCGAGAGCCTCACAGAAAACAAGCACAGCTGTTGATGGTGTTTCAGTCACCACAGCCCTCCTGGAGACCCCAGGGAGACAGGCTCAGCATCCTGCCACCCTTCGTCCTTCCCAGCCTGCATCCTCTCCCATCTCGCTGCCCTGCCACACTGCAACCAGTGACGTGCACGACACGTTCCGGTACCTGCAGCCATGTGTGTTTTGGGTTTACCTTTTCACCAGGTTCAGTGTAACAAAATATTGTGGGCACAGCATTCTCTTTTAGGAGCTTGTTATTGCATTCCCTCTTAAAGCAATCGGGGGTAAAGTGTTCTGAGCAAATGCTGCTGTATTTGGTCGGCTTGAAGTTTTTCCTCTTAACAGCAGCTTCCCACTTCTTGCAAAGATCGGGTCTTGTAAGAGGAAACCTGCAAGCAAGAGGCACTTTCAGATTTTCTGGAAATCTTTACAAGGCGGGGTTTGGCCGGCGCCAAAACCTTTCTGCCCCGTAGCGGGGCGTGGGTCTCAGCCCGCTCTTGCTCTGGAACAGGCGGCTCAGAGGGTCCCGTCCCTTGACTTTCCCCTAGGAGACGCCGGGAGGGGCGGACGAGGCTCCCCACCCTCAGCAGCCGCTAACAGACACGTCCTTCTGTCTGTCTGTCCGTCTGTCGCCCGTAGGTCGGTACCCGCCTGCTCGCGCGCCCTCCCTCCCGGCTCCCCGCGGACCCCGCGCGCGCGGCCCCGCGCTGGCCCCGCCCCCGGCGCGAACCCCGCCCCGGTGCCCGCGCGCGCTCACTTGTGGAAGGAGATGGGCTTCTCTTTGTCGTATCGGTTCCGGCAGCGGTAGGCGGAACAGGACTGCACCATCCCGCCCAACTCCGCGCCCGCCGCGGCGCGGCCTCCCTGGGGACGGGCGGACCGGCGGGGTGCTGCGAACTCACCGCCGCGGGCCCATGCTTCCCCCGCCTCCCGCGGCCCCCCCCCGCGCCCCTGGCCCTCCGGAGAGGGACGGGAACGGGACGCGCGGCCTCTCCCAACTCCAAGATGGCGGCGCCAGCTTCAACGGAACCTCTCGCGGTAGCAGCGCGCACCGCGCTCCGCCCATTGGGCGCGTCGGCGCGCGGGGTGGGGGCGGAGCCTTGTTCGGCGGGCTCGCCAATCCGGCCGCCTCCTTTCTCCCGCTCCGCCCCCACTTCGCCGCCGTGCTCCGCCCACATCTGCACCCACAGCTGGACAGCGCCGCCCACACCCTCCGCACCCACAGCTGGGCAGCGCCGCTCCGCTCCGCACCCACAGCTGGGCAGCGCCTCCCGGCCCGCCGGGCACAGCCCCGGCACCGGGAGCTGCGCTGCGGCTGTTCCTGCACCGAGGGGAACCCGTCAGAGGCTGCTCTGGCCGCGCCATGCCCGAAGTCCTGGGTGGGGATGGTTGCCCCAGCCGGCAGGCAGGGCTGCGCTCGGGCGGACGGCTGTGCTCAACGCGGCTGTCACAGGGACAGGAAGAAGCTGGCGCTGGTGGCTCTGGCTCTCCTCGGGGACCAAAAAGGGAAAAAAAAAAAAAAAAAAAAAAAAAAAAAAAAAAAA